GTGTGTGTGTGTGTGTGTGTGTGTGTGTGTGTTTACGTATGGCGATATATATGTACACATGTATACTGGAAGAAGAGTATATTTTGTCATGATTGTACAGTTATCTCAGTCGATCTATCGAGTGTATCGCTTTGTACAATCGTCGAATTCTTTTCAGTTTGTGATTATCAAACAGTTCCTTTCGCTTTCTGGAGCTCGTGTTTCGCATCATTCCCACATTTATTGTGGTTTTTCTAATACACTTTACTCGTGACCAACTCTTTTTGCTTCAAAAATCAGGTCTTTTCCAATTTCTTAGCCAACATTCAACTGATAGCCGATCTACTTGTGGAACGGGTATGTTTGGCCAAATATAAGGCCTTAAGGTTTATGGTTCTAGGGTTTTACATGTGGGTGGGTATGGGTTTTTAGGGTTTAGTCTATCCAGCATGCGTATGTAACAGTGTGAGCTGAGCTTCAGATATGTGTAGAAGTACTTACTTGTTATAGGGTAGGAAGTAGTTATAGGCTGTGTGTTACGGGGTGGTAGAATGCATGTGTGCTTCAGATATGTGTAGAAGTACTTACTTAGTATAGGGTAGGAAGTAGTTATAGGCTGTGTGTTAAGGGGTGGTAGAGTGTATGTGTACTTCAGATATGTTTAGAAGTACTTACTTTTTATAAGGTAAATAGTAGTTATAAGCTATGTGTTAGGGGGTGGCAGAGTGTATGTGTGCCTCGACTGCTGAGCACCCGCTACATGGCTATGCCACTACTCCCTTGCTACTACTACTAGTCTGGTTGGGCTGTTTGTACCGTTATTTAATTAGTTAATCCTGCCCCGATAATCCCTGAATTACCCTGCTTAATTGGCCCATTTATACAAATCAGGATATGCGAATGCTAATTTATCATTCTCATCCTAATTTGTCGTTTTAATCCTAATCCCCGTGACAATTCTTTCAGAAAATCGAGTTTTTGACCATCACTGGGCAAACCTCAGCCTCAGTACGACAGCAGTACTCGCATCTGTTCAACGACTCAAGGCAAAAGTACAAGGTGTTCCTAGTTTCGGTATGTTTTAAATGCTCGTTTAGGGGTACCATTCAATTGTGCTTTTGATGCTTTTTAATTTATCTATTTAATTGTGTTGTAGATGTTATTTTGAGGATATGGAGTTTCCAGTATTGGTATGTTGTCGATGTTCTTTTCCGTTGTCATATATATATATATATATATATATATGCAGATATATATATATATATATATATATATTATAAATATATATATATACTTATATATATATATATATATATATATATATGTATATATGTATACATGTATATATATATATATATATATATATATATATATACATATATATATATATATAATATATACATCACTTACTCATGACGTTTTTGTTTCCCACATAGACCATGGCTGGAAATGCTGGGCTTAATTTGTATGGTGCTAATCGTGTGATTCTGATGGATGTGTCGTGGAACCCAACCAACGACACGCAGGCAGTCTACAGAGCCTTTCGCATTGGACAGGAGAAGGCCAATGTGTAAGTGGGGGTGGGCCATAAAACCCTATACCCCAAGTGTGGTAGTGTGCAATAAACCTTAAACCCCAAGTGTGGTAGTGTGTATTAAAACTTAAACCCTAAGTGTGGTAGTGTATATGAAAACTTCAACCCTAAGTGCGAGGGTATGCATGAGAAAACCTATACCCTATGTGTGGGGATTGGAAATGTGAAACCCTAAACCCTACGTGTGGGGGTGTACATGGGAAACCCTAAACCTTGAGTATGGATGCAGATGTCTTACAGTCAAACGAAATTGTTCGTTCATATTCGTAGGACGAGTGTGTATAGGAGTCTCCACTTCAAGTTGCGAACCCCCATTTGTTCTATTTTTGGACACAATCTGTTTGATTTTAGACACTCTGTTATTGATGTTGTTATTGGTATTGTTATTGTTCTTGTGCCTGTTGACCCATTTATACACCCCTGTGCTTGCTGTTTGCGCAGTTTTGTGTATCGTCTTGTGATGGACCAGTCGCCTGAAAGGACTGTCTATTGTTCTATTTTTAGACATACTGTTATTGTTATTGTTCTTGTGCCTGTTGACCAATTTATGCACGCCTGTGCTTACTGTTTGCGCAGTTAAGTGTATCGTCTTGTGATGGACCAGTCGTCTGAAAGGACTGTCTATAGTTCTATTTTTAGACATACTGTTATTGTTATTATTCTTGTGCCTGTCGACCCATTTATACACCCCTGTGCTTTATGTTTGCACAGTTATGTGTATCGTCTTGTGATGGATCAGTCGCCTGAAAGGACCGTCTATTGGCGGAACATTCTGAAGGAAACGACAGCCATAGAGATCATCGACAAGCAAACGGTAGGTAGAAAGTGCAGCTACGGATGATGGTGTGTAGATGGTAGGTTGTGATATGTATTATAGATTGTATGCTATATATTATAAATGTTATATATTACAGATTATATGTAATATGTGGTAGATGATATGTTATATATTATAGACTTTATGTCATGTATTATTGATTATGGTATATATTATAGATCTTATATATTATAGATTATGTAATAATTGATAGATTATGCTGTGCTATAGTTTATAGATCTTAATATTGTTATATATTACAGATTATATATTATATATAATAGATTTTATAGCTTAAAAATTAGATGTTTTATATTACATATGTTGTATATTATAGATCATTTATTACACATCATAGATATCATATATTATACTATAGTTGTCATAGCAACGCACGCTTAAGTACACATTTGTATACCTATTAAACATCCTACCAGCGGTGTTAGTGAGTATAACAGTGTGCATGAGAGTGTCGCCTTACGCCTTGACGTCACGGGCGCACACCATCCACACTGAGTCCGCCCCAACATTCCCAGATGTGTTTGTGGCTGTCAATTCTACCTGCCATGACACTGACACTGACACGTTTTTGACACCGACGCACATGGAAGAAGTCACACCTCGAAGTCTTACCACAAACTATACAAGAATTATTGTGCTACGTTCATCTTGTTCAAAACACCCACCTAAAGTTACTACCAAAAAAGTACTAAACATGGTAAAGCAAGTTACCTACACATGAATGAATACTGCATACAAATAAATGGTTACTAAACATGATGTTGTATGTTAACGGTTACGATTTCTCGGTTTTGTGCAGACGGACGCGCGAGTTGAATCCAAAAATCTCAAATGGAATCGTGAACGTATACACGATTTGGGAATGAGCAATTCTGAAACGGGGCAAAAAGACTTCTCACTCGTGTCAGACGCTGTCTTTGTAAGTGCATATATAAGTATATATGTGTGAGTAGTTATTTGTAGTTATATATATACAATATATATGTATATATATATATATTATATATATATGTATATGTATATGTATATATATATATATATATATTTATATATTTATATATTTATATATTTATATATATATATATATTTATACATATATATATATATCTATATATCTATATAACAATATACATTTATTTATATACATATATATATATCTATATATCTATA